GCAGCACCCACCCAAGAATGCACGGAAATATCCACCTTGTAAAAGACAAGTTTCCTTGAAACACAGTTTCTTTGTCTTTTTGTAGAACTCCCTTGTTTTTCCTTCCAGTTTCTTGCCCCCCTCCCAAATTATAAGCAGGTCTTGATCCAGCCTTCTTAAATTCAATCCAGAAAACTCGTGTAGAGCATGTGCAATGTGCCTGGCACCAGTGCAATAGCTGGGGACAGCACTCGTCTGTCCTCAAGAAGCTCACAGTCTAACGGGGAGACAGAAATGGTGGTTCCAGGGGTAGAATCAGTTTTTTATTGCCCAGGTGTCATACAATGTGGGAGGCCCTCCGTAACGAAAAAGAACATAAAATCAGCTGGATGTGGTGGCACCTGTAGTCCCAGCCACTCAAGTGGCTGAGGTGGGAGGAATGCTTGAGCCCAGAAGTTCAAGGCTGCAGTAAGTCATGACTGCACCACTGCACTCCAGCCTGGGTGACAGAGTGAGACCCCGTCTCTTTAAAAAAAAAAAATAAATATAAATATAAAATAAAATAAAAAGGAACATTTCGCCAGGGCCTTTCCTGAAGCTTTGAAATGCCTTTGTATAAGAGACCTGGGCTCACACCTGTAATCCCAACACTTCAGGAGACTGAGGTGGGTGGATCACTTGAGGTCAGGAGTTCAAGACCAGCCTGGCCAATATGGTGAAACCCCATCTGTACTAAAAATACAACAATTAGCCAGGCACGGTGGCACACACCTGTAGTCCCAGCTACTTGGGAGGCTGAAGCAATAGAATCGCTTGAACTCAGGAGGCAGAGGTTGCAGTGAGCCAAGATTGCACCATTGCACTCCAGCCTGGGCAACAGAGTAAGAGAGACTCTGTCTCAAAAAAAAAAAAAAAAAGAGAGAGAGAGAGAGACCTGGGTTCCATGCTCACTGTTGGAGAGAACAGAATGGGACCCCAATGCACAACCACTCAAACAAAGACAGAAGAGAAGGGTTCCCGGAGGGTGGCTGCCCACTCCGGAATTAAACCACTATCTCTCTGCTTTCTCCCTTTGCTCTCTTTGTCTGCTCTGTGAAAGAATGCATGATGTATTCCACAAAAATTTACTTCGGGCTTATATAATAATTGGGATACATTTCAGCTGCCATAACAAAGACTTACAATGGTGTAAACAAACTAGGACTTTCTTTCCCTGCTCTGCACAAAAGCAGCCCAGGGCTGGCGTGGAACCACCATGGTTTCATGGCCATGGGCTTCTTCCATCTTATGGATCATCCATCCCTGGTGTATTGCCCTCAGCTACACTGTCAAAGATGGTCCACACTCCAGCCAGCAAGGAGAGAGAAGTGGGGAGTAGAAAGCCCTCCCCTGCCCTTTAACGGCACAGCCTGGAAGTTTGTACACCTCTTCCGCTAACATCTTGTTGGCCAAAATGTGGCCACACAGTGGTATGAAGATGCCAGGGAAAGGAGAGAGAGTAAAGTGTACCCTGGGTGGACACATGCCCCCCATATCAGGGTGTATCATGACTGTAAAGCAAGAAAATGATGCTGTGGGCAGCTAGACACCTCCGAGGTAGCCTGCTCTGTGCTCAGGGCTGTCTAGGAAACCAAGGTGCTAAAGAAGTTCTGGTTCTTCCCAAAGCCACCAAGGACAGAAATGTGAATTAAACAAGCCGTCCCTGCAAACGCTCACCCGATTCTGTCATTTTGGCAATTCCAATTCTCTCCACCTGACCCTGGATTCTGGCAGAGATGAAACCCCAGGACCATCAGAGGGGCACTGGAGAAAAAGGTGGCAACATAGACTGTGACGAAGTTGCCAGAAAGGAAGGGTGAGAACTGGGAAAACAGTGGTATGGAAATCATATTACCCAAAGTTCAGCAATCTCAGGTGCTACAGAGGGTCAATGCAGGGCAAGGACCAGAGGCATTCTATGGGATTTGCCAAAGAGGGGACCAAATCAGTCGCAGGGGAATGGTAGGGAGTGAAACCTAGAGGAAGTGGGTTGAAGGGCAAGTGGGGAATGAAGATGTAGAGAGAGACAGTGGAGACTGAGGTTCTGAAAAGCAGGAACGTGTTGAGAATGGTGGATTCTTGATCACGTTAATCCAAAGCATAAAGAATCGGTGAAAAGCAAGAGACTAAAAATAATGAGCAGAAATGTCATTTGGCTGCTTTAACGAAGACCCACATAATAGGGGCCAGGTGCAGTGGCCAAAGTGTGTAATCCCAGCACTTTGGAAGGTCGAGGTGGAAAGATCGCTTGAACCCAGGAGTTGGAGACCAGAGTGGTCAACATAGTGAGGCCCTGTTTCTACAAATAATCAAAAATTAGCCAGGTGTGGTGGTGCACACCTGTAGTCCCAGCTACTCGGCAGGCTGAGGCAGGAGAATTGCTTGAGCTCAGGAAGTCAAGGCTGCAGTGAGCCATGGTCACGCCACAGCACTCAGCTTGAGTAACATATTGAGACCCTGTCTCAGAAAAAAAAAAAAAAAGACCCAGAGAACAGTGGCTTAAACAAGATTAAAGTTTCTTTCTCTCCCATGTAAGAGTCCGAGTCGAGGGCTAATAGCAAGCTTCACACTGCTAGTGACCCAGGTCCTTCCAACTTTCTACTCAGCCATCCTCAACATGCGGTTTCCACCTCATGGCCCAAGATGGCTGCTGCTGCTCATACCATCATGTTCACATTCCTAGCCAGAGCAAAGAAGGAAAAAGGACGGGGAAGATTATCTTCATCTTCAGGGCACCACCCAGAGGTTGCTCATATCATGGCTACCCAGTTTTCATTGGCCAGAGCTTGGAGACTTGGGCACATCTAACTGCACGAGAGACTGCAGCAAAGTAATCTCTGGCTGAGGAGATCAGGTGCCCAGCTAAAACCAAGGGCTTAGAAGACCCAGAACAAAGGGAGGAGGCACCACCACCGCTGCAGCTGGGAGGAAGAAGGTGGGGTAGCTGAGTTTGAAAAGGGCTGGAAAATAGGGAACTCTTGCCTGGTCATGTTTATTTTCTCTGCAAATTGAGACTTGGAGTCATCACTCGGAGAGCCAAGAAGAGAGACGGCTTGTCCAGCCTCTCTCCTGTTGCTGTTTGTGTCCGTTATGGTAGAACAGGCAGGCACCTATACACAGACCCCTGAGATGGTTCAAGGAAAAGCTGTGCCTTCGGAGTCCAGAGTTTCAAGCCTAGCTCTGGGCTCAGCTGCTTTACAACCTTGAGCAAGTCAAGAGATCTCAGTTTCCTTATCTGTTAAGTGACCACAACAGTGCCCAGCCTGCCCACAATCCTGTTTGGACCCCACGGAGAGCTGTAAATACCCTGCGTAAGCATCGCAGCTGGGCAAATGTGAGTGGGCATTCTTGTGGGAGGGACAGAGTCGCCGAGTCAGTGCTGAGCCTCGAAGGGCAGGCAGAAAATGGCTGAGAGGGAGATAGGAAGGACGTGAGATGGGGTGTGGCCGAGACCAACCCCACGCAGACCGCCCAGCGCCCAGCCACTCCACAGGGCTCTGCCCATCTCCGACCCAGCATCAGAACTCCTCTGCTGTCGGGGTGAGGGTGACAGGGAAGAAGGGAGCCGCTTCTGAACAAGCAGGGCTCCCACGGCCAGTGGGAGGGAGCAACTGGCCCAGCTGTCCACAGCCGCTGGGAGTCAGCCTCTGTTCTGTCTTAAGATCACTATCACGGAGCCTTGGCCTCGTCCTCTGCGCTTGGCCTTAGAAGCTCTCCTGGGACCTCTCCCCAAGCCCGGGACACCTCTCTGTGTTCCTGGCTCAGCCCAGTCAACAGTGTGAGTTTCTCTCCCAGCCTCTGGCCTAGCAAAGCCAGCCTCTCCAGTGTGTGGCTGTGTGTGCGCGCACACACACACACACAAACACCACATACTATACACCACATGTACAACACACAGCACACACAGCAAACACACCACACACATCACACACCACACACATCACACACCACACACATCACACACACAAACAAGCACCACATACTACACACCACATGTACAACACACACCACACACAGCAAACACACCACACACATCACACACCACACACATCACACACCACACACACACAGAAGCAGCACATACTACACACCACATGTGCAACACACAGCACACACAGCAAGCACACCACACACATCACACACCACACACACACAGAAGCAGCACGTACTACACACCACATGTACAACACACAGCACACACAGCAAACTCACCACACACAAATACATCACACACTACACACACACACACACACACACACCATGTGAACACACAAAGAACATACCACACATAGCATACATCAAACACATGCAAACACACCACACACAGACATCTCCCACAAACTCCACAACACACACCAGGATTCACGCTCCCTACACATACACACCACACACACATATGCACACTCCCTTCTTCCTAACTGGACCCTCTGTGTCTCATATCACACCCCTCCATTCAATCCTCTACACAACTGCTTCAGTAATTTTGTTAAAACGCAAACTACGCCATTTCCTTGTTTAAACCCCACTCCCTCTTTCAGCGGCTCTCCAGAAAATTCAGGCTAAAATCCTAGCTCCTTCCCAGAGACGGTGGCCCTCCAGTCTGTTCCCCGATGGCCCGTGCAACATCCCCCGTCAGTGAGCCCGCGTCACCTGCCCTTTCCCCCACTGTGGGTTCCTCGCGCATCTCTGGAAGATGGCCCCACAACTTCATCCATCTGAAACGTGTTCATCCTTCCAAACCCAGTTCAGAGCTCACCTCTTCTGTAAAGCTTTCTCGACCACCCAAGCGGAATCGCTCCCTTCCTCTCTACCGCTTGCGTGGTGTGTGGTGGAATGATTTGCTTCCCCTGTCTGTCTTCCCTGCCAGCAGGTGACCTTCTGAAGGGAATTCATGTCTATAGACAGAGCACTTGTTCCTGGCATGGGGTGGGCTCAGTGAACACGGGGTGGGTGGCACTCATCCCCCTCGTCCTCCCACACAGATCAAAGTGGAAAACCAGCTTGACTTCCAGGACATCACCAGCGTGGTCGCCATGGCCAAAACCTACGCCACCACCGAGGCCTTCATCGACTCCAAGTACGACATCCGCGTCCAGAAAATTGGATCCAACTACAAGGCTTACATGTGAGTCTCTGGGGCAGGGGCTGGGGGAGCGTGGGAAGGGAGCCCAGAGGTGCATGTCCAGCCACTGTCTCCTGCACCCAAGGGCGCATCATTATCCTCCATCCTATCTCCTTACTGCCTTTCTTCTCTGGCCAGTGCGGCCGAGGGGCTAATACTCAGTCACTGCTTATCCCCAGGCAGATATTTGCCTACCCAAGCAAGGGCTGTTTCCTCCAGAGCAAGAAAAGTGCTTGGCACGTCTAGGGAACTGCACATACACACAGTATATATGTCTTTGAGAGAGAAATTTGGGGACAAATCAAGGAGGGCTTTGAATACCTTGCTGAGGGTTTTGGATTTTTTTTCCTCTTCTGAGCAAAGGATCTGTGTTTATTAAAAGGTGACCATGAGGCTGCGAGCTGCCAAACGGTTTCTCTGAAGCCAATAAGACCAATGAGGAGGTTACACCGGATTTCTCTGCCTGCAAGCAACAGAAACCACACATCATTAACTTAATGGGTTTTTTAAAGGGAATTTATTAGAAAACCATGGGTTATCAGAAACTTAAAAAAAGCAAACAAAAAAATCTCCCAACTCAATTATCAGTTTCGGAAGCATTAGGATACAGAGCAACCCGGGAATGTGGGCAGCCAGAAATAATAATAAACAATTTTCACGGCATCGCCACCGGTAAATGAACCTGCCCTAGTCATTTTCAGGGCTTAACTCAAGATTGCGATTCCATGGAAAAAGTACTGATTAGTCCAACTTTGACTGTGTTTTATTGATTAGAGAAAAGCAGTATGGAGAGTCCCACCATGAAGGCATGCAGTGTGGGCAGGGCCATTGCCTAGTGGAAATAGAGGTGCTGAATCTAAAGGAAAAGGAAAGAATGCCAGGCGGAAAAAAGCAGCCCGCCTTCACCTGGGTGGTTCAACAAAGGATGGATTACATGGGGCTGTGGTTATCAGGATGAATGGGGACTTCTGGAGTAGGTGGACTGTCTCGTCCTTGGGAGAGCTCTTCGCTCCAAGCCCTCTCTGTGTTTCACTCTGGAATGTTATTGTTAGTTCCACTTGAAATGATGGGACCCCAGAGGGCCAATCGCTGCCTGGTTGACAAGCATTTATGGGGCACTGACTGTGTGCAGGGCTCCATATGTGAGGACTGCAAGGGTTAGCCCTAGACAGCTGGAAGGTCCCTCCATCCATAGGCTTCTGTGTGGGTAGCTTGTGCTTTAAGGTAGGGGTTGGCAAACCACAAGCACAGGCCAAATCCAGCTGCCACCTGTCTCTAAATACAGTCCTGTTGATCACAGCCTTGCACACCCATTTACAGATTGCCTGTGGTTGCTTTGGCACTACCTGGATTGCCGAGACCAAGGGTCAGCAAACTTTTTCTGTAGAGGACCAGGTGGTAATTTTAGGCTTGACGGGCCATATCATCTCTGTCGCAACTACTGCGCCCTGTCATTGTTTGTGAAACTAGAGGAGGTGCAGGCAGTTGCCCTAGAAGGAAGTATTTGCAGGAAAGGGATGGAACTCATTTTGAAGGAGTAACTCTGCCCTATTCCACCAATCAACCTCTTCCTCCCACGAGGCAGGCCAGACCTGCCCCTGCTCTCAGATGGCCTTGGGGTGAAAAAGTCACCTCCTCCCTGCCCACCGTGAGTTATGGCCCATTCCAGTGCATTCCTGAGGCCCCCGCCATAGGTCATGATATCATTTCCCTCCTCTCTTCATTGTTTCAGCTTCCACTTGACATTGACGACACCTTGTCCCAGTTTTTTTCTGCTTTTTTTTTTGTTGTTGTTCTTGAGGATTACCTCATTGCCGCATTTTTTCTGCGGAGCCTCCCTGGCCTGACAGCTCCACTTTGTCATGACTTACGGAGTTTCCTGGACCTTGGCCTGGCCCACCTCCAAAGGAGGGGGTTCACGTCAGAGTTCAGTGTAGAATTTCCCCAGCCGTTCAACCTCCTCTGGCCCCACTCCCTGCCTTGTACTCGCGCCTTTGTGCTTGTCGCTGCTGGGCTGTCATTCTTTCTAGGTCCTAGCAGACACAATAAGGAAGTACATGAGTGTATCCTTACCCATGTATTCATATATATCCATAATTATTTCCGCATATCCCCATCCACATCCCTATGAGGCTGAACAGAATCCTATGGATGTCCCGGACCTTCATCTGGTACCACTTGGTTCATTTTAGCCTTTCCTGGTTGCTAATCTATAACTTCCCACTCCAACAGAGAAAAATCAGCTCCCCCACTCACCATCTATCCACTTTTTTGGTTCCGTCTCAGTGGATGCGCCCAGTCTCAGAACTGCTCACCTGTAGCCTCATGGGAAACAACCTTGCCAACTATGGTGCGGTGCCTTATGGCTCCTGGTGGTCATCTATTCTCAGCATTTTTACATTTGATTTTCTCTTTTACAATGATACAGTTTTGTGTCAATTCCTCTCCCCAGTTCACCCTTTGATCTCAACCACATACCTTCCGTTGACCATAAGACAAATAGCTTTACCTACACCCCTGTGCTTAAACTTGTTCAGTCTTTGCCGAGGCCAGATGCACCGTTAGGGATAGGTAGCTTGTCTGGATTCTCCCTCAGTGTACACAGTTCCTCACCCAGTAGGTACCTACTGGGCACCTACTGCCTGCCAGGTCCCACTGGATACTGGATATACAGGGGATGAAGTTAAACATGTCCCCTACCCTCAGGGTTCCCCTCCATCGGAGAAGAGAGGACACTAACGCAGTCATCAGAAGGGAGATGAGCATTCCTGAGCATTCGTGTAGGGTGTAGCACCGGGCAGTCTATTTTTGCTGGGGAAGGTGGGCTGTCAGGAAGTCGTATGTCAGATGAAACCTGAAGGATGAGCAGGACTTAGGGAGGCGAAGATGGAGACAAAGACTCTGTGGAGTAAAGGGAAGAAGGCATGCAGAGGCTGTGACACTAGGAAAGAGCCATAGGCAGCGGAGCACCGGAAGAGAGGTCGGTTGTTACTGGAGCAGAAGAGGCAAGGAAACAGAGAAGGATGGCAACACAGTCAGAGACCAGAAGGCATTCCTAATCTTTACCAGAAAAAAGTAGTCACTTCTCTCTAAGGGTCACTTTTCTAACATTTTGGGGCCCTCAAAAGATTCCAGACTCATCAGGGGCTACACACACTGCCCTCATTCTCCTAAAAAACACGCCAAAGTTTGGGGGATTTCATCAGATGATGTAGGCATTTTTGAATTCAATCTTTCAATTTCAAAGATGACTTAGAAAACAATACCTAAGATCCAACAAATAAAAAAGGCAAACAGCATGAAGGGAAATAAACATAGGAAAATATAGTTGAAGATAAAGTATGTACCTAAGAATACATGCCATTACGTGAGCCAGTCATTTGAGTCAGAGCCTCCTGACAGCCAAAGCAAAGAAGGAAAGCAGATCAGGATGAGCATCCCTAATTCCCTCAATGTGTTATTTGTTCTGGTACAGGAGAACCTCCATCTCTGGGAACTGGAAGGCCAACACAGGCTCTGCCATGCTGGAGCAGGTGGCCATGACAGAGAGGTAAGAGACAAAGGAGGTGTAGGGAGAGGTGCTGGCCATGGTAGGAGCTGAAGGGGGAATGCAACAAACAGCCCTGAAAAGAAGGCCACTCTGCCCTCCATCCAGTGCCTCACCATCCACAGAGCACTTTTCTAGGTATGATCATCTTCACTGCCCACAACAGCCTACAGGGCAGGCATTAAAATAACCCCATTTTACAGAGGGGAGAAGAAAGCTCAGAGAGGGGAAGTGATTTGTCTAGGACCACAGAGCTAATTAATGACACAGCTGAGAGTAGAACCCTGCTGTCATGACTCCAAGTCCAGGGTCTTTCCAGCCCTGACCAGCTGCTATAGGAAGAGGTCAGGAAGCCCTGGCCAAGCCCTCCTGTGCGCTGACAGCTGCAAGGAAGCGTTATTAGGCAACCAGGCATATTGGAGAGTCCACTTCTCTCTCAAGCTTCTTTCCATCTCAGTACGAACAGGGAGAGGTTGATGTCCCCTGAATCGTGCATATTTTAGGGATGCTTTCTGGCTGAAGGTTTTTTTCGGTCTTTCTCCCTTTAGACACTTTGTGCCAGCCCCGCTTAAGGAAAGGCCGGCCGGGCGCGGTGGCTCACACCTGTAATCCCAGCATTTTGGGAGGGCAAGGCAGGCAGATCACCTGAGGTCAGGAGTTCAAGACCAGCCTGGCCAACATGGTGAAACCCCATCTCTACTAAAAATACAAAATTAGCTGAGCGTGGTGGCACATGCCTGTAATCCCAGCTACTTGGGAGGCTGAGGCAGGAGAATCACTGGAGTAGAGGTTGCAGTAAGCTGAGATCATGATCATGCCATTGAACTCCAGCCTGGGCAAGAAGAGTAAAACTCTGTCTCAAAAAAAAAAAAAAAAAAAAAAAAAGGGCCGAAGGGCCGAGTCAGCTGGTCTCAGGGCCTGCCACATACATACCTTCTTGCCTGCATGCCCTGTGACCTCTGCCAGCAGCCACACAATAGCAGTGGACAGAGCGTGGGCTGTGAGCTCAAAAGCTCTGTTCAATAAACACTTACTGAGTACCTACTGCAGGCCATGTTCTGCTGAGCACTAAAGGATGAAAAAATCCAATCCTTCCCTCTAAGAACTCTGTATCAGTTGCAAGGGCTACCACACAAATCAAATTGATTTGCACAAAAAGGGGGATTTACTGGCCCATGTCACTGATGACTCCAGATATACAGTGTCAGGTAAGGCCTTGAGGCTCCTCTGCCCACCCTAGTTCAGCTTCTTTCTGTGTTGGCTTCATCCAGGAGGCTCTTTCATTTTATGGTGGCACACGGTGGCTCCAGGCTTTCATCCTCACAGTGCGTTCAAAAGAAAGAAAATTTCTCTTTCCCAATCATTTCAACCAAAGCCTGAAATTGAGCCATATGTACTGATTGGCCTGGCTTAGGTCACGTGACCATCCCTGAACCAATCACTATGGCCCAAGACACTGCAACGCTGTGATTGGAGGCCTATGTCAGGTCTGCACCCCTGGAGACTGGAGTGGGACCACCCCCTACAGCAATAGAGACTGAGTGTGACCTTGGGCATGTTCAGGAACATTTCTGAGCTTCTTCAACTGCAAAATGAAAGCAGTAGTACCCAAGTCAGAGTGCAGGTGTGAGGACTGAATGAGAGAGGGCTGTGAAGCACCTAATCCAGAACCGGCCCCTGGCAGGGAGGCGCACCTGCCCTTCCCATCAACCCCAGGGGGGCAGCTGCCACCTTCAACCTGGGAACCCACCTGTGCTAATAAGTCTCCTGGAGGCTGCGCTCGTGACCTGGCACAACTGAATCACGTGGCTGAGGCAGTCACCTCCTTCCCCCAACAGGTGTTCACGGGACAGTCGTGGCCGTCTTCTCTATGGCCCTTCCCGAACGTGAGCCCAGCCTTCCCCAGTGCCTCCTGAGCCACTCACAGATGTCCCCAGCACGCCACCTATCCCTGGCTCTGCCGAGTCCCAGGTTGCATGGGCCATCCCTGGAGGAACCTACCATGGGAGTGGGCCTGCCCAGGCCTGGAATCCACTTTCCCTTTTCTAGTCACAGGCAGTGCTTCAGGGTCTGGGCGGGAGAGATTCCCCAGTCCTATCCCCGCAGGAACAAAATCCATACAGGGACTCATACACAGGGCCTGACCCCGCCCTCCACCTGGCTTGCCTGCTTGCCAGGTGGCCTGACTCCTGGGCAAAACCAGTGATGTCACTCGGTTGGTGCTAGTCCCACCTGGCAGGAGGAGAGCAGGGCGCCCCATTCTCCAAGCACTCTCATGCTGCTGTACGCCTATAGCCCCTTCCTAGACCCTGGGATGCCTGTGTCCTATGGGGTGCAGCCAGCAGGGGACCCCAAGGTTCATCCTTTCAAAACAGCCTCTGGAAACCGCTGCCTCTGGACCTCGGCTCAGATTTCCATGTTCCATTGAGAAGATACCTGATTTATGAGTGTGTCTCAGGGCACAGCTCACCCTAAGTGTGTGGCGCCCACAAGTCAGCCACTGGGGCCAAAAACGAGGACCCTGATCAGAGATTCCAGAGGACTCTTCAAGCTCCAAGGACCCAAGGGTGTCCCCAAACGTGACCACATAGCAGAATCACATGGAAAGCTTTCAAAAATTACAGAAATTACTCTAACATAGGGCGGAGCCCCAAGTCTGGCTGTTTGTGCATTTAACTCTCCTGGTGATTCTGAGGTACAACCAGAATCAGATCTAGGCTTTCCCATTTTATGATAAGAGGGAGAGGCTTCGCCAAAAGTATTAAGGAATTAACAGCAAGAAGGTAGGTCCCTGGTCTGCCATGCTGAGTGAGAATGGATGTTCTGGGGCACCTTCAGAATGAGAGGAAGGGTGGCTCGCTTGGAATCTGGAATCAGACAGGATCTAGGTTTGGAAGCTGCACAGTCACTTAATCATCTCTCTGAGCCTTTTCCTCCATTAGTAAGAGGGTTAAAATCTTCCTCATAGAGTTGTGCTGGGATCCGAGGGGATGAGGAGTCAGCCCCCAGGCCCAGAATGTCTGGAACATAGCAGGAGCTCCATGGGTGTGAGTTTCCATCCTTCCTTTTACTTTGATGATATCACGTGCTCCATGCTACAGCTGAATGAGAAAACTGGACTGAGAGTCAAGGAGATCGAGGTGATCCTGGTGTTCTTATTGCCTTACTGTGTGAACTGGACCAGCCAGCCTCCCTCTCTGGGCCTCAGTAGGCTTTGGTGGATGAGATGAGAATCCATTCTAAGAGCATTCCAGTCTCAGTCCCTCCTCATCCCAGCACTTATGGCTCAGACACGCAAAGCGATGTGAGAGTAGGCATGCCCTGCATGACCCTGGAGAGTGAGAAGCAAGAACATTGACACAGAGTCCCCTGTGACTCCCAAATCCAGCCCACAGGGGAAGCTAAGTGCAAGCCGGGACGGTTTCTTCACATACAACCACCTCCTTGTTGCAGGGTCAAAGTCCAGCGCTGAGATCTGTCCCCAGCAAAGCAAACTGGCCTTGCAGACATCAAGTGGCTGGAAAGGGAACAAAAGCAGTGGGTCTAGAGGGCCAGGCCCCCTGGGCGAGGCAGAAGCAGCCTGCCAGTCTCCCCAGCCCACCCGCCCCGGGCCCGGGAAAAATGCACCCTTTGTCCTCCACAGCCTCTTGTCCGGCCAGGGCTGGGACTGGAAGGGCGGCCTGGAGGGATTTCTGGAGCCCTTGGAGCAGCTTTCCCAAGGGAAAAGGGACACAGGGGTAGCTGGGTGTCCAGGATGACTCCGGATGGGGGCAGGGTAGGCTCCCCATTACTGCAGGGCCAGCAAGTCCTGGGGTTGGGGGAGACCTGTCCCAACTCTGGTTCCTTCTCTCCCCCACCCTGCCTCTCTCCCCTCCTTCCTGGGTCTCTCGTGTCCTTTCTCTGGGTCTCTGTCCCACTGTCATTTGTGTCCCTGCCTCTCTGCCTGCCTGTCTCTGCGTCTTGGACTCTGACGCTCTCCATCTTTCTGGCTCTCTTGCTGCTTCTCTGTCCCTCTCCATCTCTGTCCGGATGTGTGTATCACTGTCTCTCCCTGCGTGTTTTTCCGTGTGAATCCACTTCTCTCCTCCACCCTCTTCCCCACTTTCCCAGGCCACTTCACTGTCTGTCCATCTGTCCCTGCAGGTACAGGCTGTGGGTGGACAGCTGCTCGGAAATGTTTGGTGGCCTGGACATCTGTGCCGTCAAGGCCGTCCACAGCAAGGATGGCAGAGATTACATCATCGAGGTGAGGGATGAAGCAGGCAGTCCTCCTGGCCGGTCCAGCCTGGCAGGCGTGCCAGGGGGAGGGAATCCCTGCATGATCTTTGGCACCATCAGCTGTGTCCTGGCTCCAGGGCACACGCAGCCCAGGCCTCAGTGAGCTGCTTCTGGAGGCTCCTTCCCACCCTCAGAGGCATCGAAAGGCTTCATGCCTGGGGATTCGGAACTCAGTCGAGAGACCTCAGGGCACAAGGTTTAACAACCTCCCTGACCCCCAGGCCTAAGGAAAGGGAAAGGGCATCTGGCCAAGGGTCAGCAAGCCACTGTCCCATAGGGCCCCTGCCATTTCCTCAGTGTCCAAGCATGTAAACTGGGCACCCTTCCTTGGTCTCCATGCAGACAGTCCCTCATTTGTTCATTCAACAAACATGGCCTTAGGGGGCTCCCATGGGCTAAGCATGGGTGTGGCTCTGGGGATACAGCCATGGACTTGATAGACATGGGGTGTGCAGGCTGGCAGGGGAGAGGGTGAGAAACAGTGGCAGAGCACTGAGGATTTGGAAGGGGGATGGAATGGTACAGGGGCATGAATAGAGGGGAAGATGGAGGGAAGCAGAATGGTAAGAGGGGGTTCACAGAGGGCTGTGGGTTCCGGAATCTCTCTCAAGACCCTCCAGCAGCCCGTGCCTCTCCCCATCCTACAGCCCTCCCAGCCCCGCCACTTCCTCTCCATGCTTACCGTATCCCACCACCCCCCACCCCTCCTCCATGTCTCCCCGGTGTCTCTCATGGTCCCACAGCCCTCCCGTCCCCTCCCCAACTCCTCTTCCCTGCCCCCCACCCCATGCCCCGTGGCTCTCCACTGCTTTCCCCTGAAAAGGCCCCTCTGGCCTCAGAGTCCTCCATAACTTCCCATCTCCACACTCACAGCTCCAGTGCCACGTTCAGCCCCCTCTTTCCACAGGCGGTGCTGACACAAGGCCAGGACACGTGAGGGACAGCCCTGCGGCTGTCCCCTCCCCGGGGTGTGGGCGGCTAATGGGAAGCACATGGCTGGGGTGACCACAGGAGCCAGCCAGCCCTCCCATCCCTCATGTCTGCCTCACTCCCCAGGAGCCCACGGCCGAGCAGGACCAGGTGACTCAGTGGGTGGGAGCCCAGTCATGCCAGGAGGGTGTTCACGCCCAGGACTTGGAGGTAGGAGGAGGGAGTCCAGGATGAACATGGCCCCTCTCTCCTCCCCAAAGAGGCCAGGAAGCTCCAGCAGGAAGAGCTGTGTCTGTATTGGCAGACCCAGTCCCACTCTGAGAACAGCTCTCCTCTCAAGGCCCGCAAACACCTTCCCTCTGGCTGCCACCAAACCTGAAATTCCCCAAGTAGCCCCTACTTGGAGGAGCTGTGGAAGAGGCTGGGAACAGATGCCTTGACCTGTACAGTTGCTCCCTGGAGGAGCTCATCCTCCACCTTCCTGGGAGCTTCAGCCCAGAGGTGGGGCAAGAGCCCCCAGCACAGCAGCTCCTCAGACCCCACCAGGTCCTCCTGTCCCCGCATCCCCTCACGGGGACCACCAGACATGAACCCAGATTTGGCACACAAGCACTCATTTATTTATTCACTGAGCCACTGCTCCGGGAGCCAGCCCCCAAGCCAGGTGGACACAGTGCAACCGCAAACACGAGAACAGGGGCCCTGTCTCCTAGAGCCCCTGGACTCCCCTGACCCCCAAAGGCCAGCTCCTCCCTTGCACCAGCAGTCTCTCTGTCCCCCGTGAGCCCCTGCCTCTCCGGGTCTCAGCTTTCACTCTTAGGGAAAAAAAAAAAAAAAAGAATCCGTGCTCGTGGGCCGAGGCTTCCTGCCTTCAGCCATTCAGAGGGTTGGGGATGAAAGGCCTTTCACATAGAAAAAAAAAAAAAGTAAAAGTAGTGGGCTCGGACTTCAAAAAAACAAGAAAACAATGTCTCCCAAGAATGTTCCAGAGGGAAAATGAAAGATAGCTTTTCAGATTTTTTTTTCCTCGCAGAAACATTCCAGAGTTGTTTCCTTTGCTTTTGAGTTTGGAGTGGGGTCAGGGGAGATGGGAAACTTGTTACCAAAAATATAAAAGGTGTTTTCCCCGAGTAAGGGGAAAAAAAAGGCAGAAGAGGTCCCAAAACACTGGTTTCTTCAGCCACCTCTACGGTGAGAACTGAAAATGTGTGTGAAATGTGTTGTGAAGAGGCTCACCGTCAAATACTCGGGGAAAAAGACCCTTGAACTTGTCCTCTGTGACCTTGTCCGGGGAATGACATTGCCCACTGGAAAATGTTTCCCTGGGGAGACCAGAGCGGCCACTTCCTTTGGCTGTGTCTACCGTGGGGATTCCAAAATGAACCTCAGGTTCCTTGTGGTGGCTGTTTTCCACTGCAGGGAATGTAGGAAACAGAGACCAGAATAAAATGGGGTGGGCAGGGGCAGGGGGAGAGAGGACAGGCAGGGTGCAGGACGCCTGTGTACCTTCGGGGCAGACTCCACCGTCAGAGCTCAGCCAGTGGTGACTGAGTGACTGTCCCTGCCCGGAGCACTGGGATCCAGGAGACCTCAGTTCCAGGTACAACTTGCGCAGAGCTCAGGACCCTGCTGGAAGCAGTATTCACATTCTTAAGCTAGCTTTTCAGTTTCCTAATCAAAGTGGGTGCTAAACTCACAGATCCCTACAAGTCCCAGCTGGAAGGGTCTTAGCAGCTGCCCAGATCCCTCAGTTCACTGTTGAGAAAAACAAAAAACACCCATAGAGGAAAAGAAACTTTGACCAAGATCACAGAGCAAGTCCACCGCAGAAGCCAAGCCTGGAACCCACGTTCCCTCTTCCCAGTTCCTACCCTGTTGTGCTGTTCCAATGCTTGCTGGGAATTAGCCTGATGCAGTGGGAGGACCATGGGTTGCCAGTGCTGTGTCCTTGACCTTGCCACTTCTTTGACCCTCTGCTTCCTCATCATTACAATGAGGATAATAGTACCTGCCTCAAAAGCTATTCTGAGGTTTATGAGAGATCCTCCACACCCGATGCTTACAATAGTGCATAGCACATACGAAGTGCCCGATAAATTACGGCGCTTCTCATTATCCTTATCCTTATGAGCCGGGCTTATCGCAAGGGCCTCTTATTCCTCCACTAAACAGGTGTCTGTGGAGGGCACACCGGTTTAGCAGGACATAGGGTCCATCCCTAACCTTGGGGGCTCCCAGTCTGGTGGTGGAGACATAGTGAGCAGGGGGTGACAGTGCTGTGGATAAGCTGCCCAGTGTGAAACCAGGTGAGAACGGCAGGATACAGATGCGAGGTGGCTCGTCAGAGCTTGCACCATCAGAGAGGGCTTCCTCGAGGAAGACCTAGTTAGCGGTTCCCTGTTGGATGAAATGGAGTTGGCCAGGTAAGGAGTGGGTAGAGGGAATACTTAAGAACCTGGAGGATGCCGGGCGCGGTGGCTCAAGCCTGTAATCCCAGCACTTTGGGAGGCCGAGACGGGCGGATCACGAGGTCAGGAGATCGAGACCATCCTGGCTAACACGGTGAAACCCCGTCTCTACTAAAAAAAAATACAAAAAACTAGCGGGCGAGGTGGCGGGCGCCTGTGGTCCCAGCTACTCGGGAGGCTGAGGCAGGAGAATGGCATGAACCTGGGAGGCGGAGCTTGCAGTGAGCTGAGATCCCACCACTGCACTCCAGCCTGGGCGACAGAGCGAGACTCCGTCTCAAAAAAAAAAAAAAAAAAAAAAACCTGGAGGAGAGAGAAAATCTAAGGAGTCCAGACCGTGGGAACAAGGGAGACAAGACGGTGAGTCTGATGGGGTGGTGTGGGTGAATGCAGGCCGCCGACTCCTGCAGTGGAGCAGAGAGGGTGACAAGGCCGACAGACACCCCTTCCAGACCTCCCATAGCTTCCCATGCCCAGAGAATCACGTGGAGCATTGGCCTTTGTGACCTTGGGCAAGTCCCCTCCCATCTCTGGGCCTCAGTTGCTCTATTTGTAAAAAGAGCAGAAGGGGAAACTAGGATCCCTCAGGCTCCTCCCCATAGAAGCACTTTGAGAACAGCCCAGCTCCCTGTGGAACGCGTTTCCCTCCCACCTGTGTTTTGCCAGGGCCCCGGAAAACAGACCTTTCCTCTTTCCTCTGAACCCTGGGTCAACTCTATGTCATATTTTTGTCATGATCAAGCCCCCCACCTTTACTGTTTCTACTTTGCGGAAAGCCTTGAGCTAGGGCCAAAGGAGAGGTGGCCAGCCCTGACCCTGGGAGGGGGCCAGGGTGAGAAAGGAGGGGACGGAGAGCGGCTCCCCAAAGAAAAGCACAGAAAAGGTCGGCAGAGGCTCCCTGGCCCTTGTCGCATTGCTGTCATCCAGCAAACGTGGGCCGAATTGAACTACATCCAGGGAGTGGTTGAGACTGAACCGAAGCGAGCTGGTGTCGCTGCCAGCCAGTCCCAGCTGGAGGTGGTTTGCATGGAGGACATCGCCATCTGGTGGTCACTTCTGTCCTGAACCCTGAGCCCCCACTTCTGGGGTGTGATGCCCAACGGCCAGTCTCTCCTGGCATGGGGGTCCCTCAGCTCTCCCGTCCTCCCCACAGGTAATGGACAGCTCAATGCCGCTGATTGGAGAGCATGTGGAAGAGGACAAACAGCTGATGGCCGACCTTGTTGTCTCCAAAATGAGCCAGCTCCTGATGCCAGGAGGCACAGCACCCTCACCCCTGAGACCCTGGGTAAGACCCTCGTGATCAAAGCAGACTTTATAACCATGAGAAATGCCAGGCTGTCTGGAAATGGGGAGCCCCTGGATCCAAAGGAGATACCCCCAGGAAGAAACCACCTTGGGGAGAAGGAATGGGGGTGTGGGTGAAGGCCAGACATCAGGGAGAGCGTCCACAGCCTGCCCCAGTGGGTGAATTTAGGAGGCTTTCGGGGGCCCCCTCCCTTCTTCACCATCCTGGGGAGAACAATCTTGTCTCAATTGGCCTTTGGGCACTGTGGGGAGAGATGATTGACTGCTGTCCCTTCTGTGCCCTCGGTGCTGGGCCTGAGCAGGATGTGTGTGCGTGCGTGTGCGAGAGCATATGGACACACAAACCCTCTGTGTGCTCCCAGGGAACCGGTCAATGGATGCTATTGTGTCTCCCATTTCCCCCAACCTCGATGAGCTCTCACGTCGCTCCTCCCCTCCACAGTTCCCACCATGGATGACCAGACTGCTGTCCAAAGAATTTGCCAGCTCCTCAGCTTTATGTAAAAGCAAGTCCCCCAACTTCCACCTCCCATCCCAGATTTCCCCATGGAAAGTAATCTATGATAACAGACATCAGAATCATAGTTACTATACTGGGGGACTGCTGTCTGGGAAGGGTTATGAGGCAGGCTTCATCGTGGGAAATGGCCTGTGTTTTGATCTGGACAGCGGTTACACCGATGTATACACATACAGAACTTCACTACACAGTACACTCCAGAACTGTACACTTTATGTGTACGAGTCTCTTCTCAATGATAAAAAGATCTTCATAAATGTTGCCCTCTCACCCAGGAAGTAAAGGGCTGTGGTGATACCAACAGGCTTCTTTTCTCTTCTGCTCTAGGCGCCACAGATTAAATCAGCGAAATCCCCAGGGCAAGCCCAGCTGGGGCCTCAGCTAGGACAGCCCCAGCCACGCCCACCTCCGCAAGGTACGACCCCAGACGCGCCACTGTGAGAAAGCATGCAGTGAGGGTGCTGAAATGTACTGAGGATCCACACGTGATTCCCACAAGGGGCTCCGGGAAAATGCATCTGAATACTTTATCCACAGAATGAATCAGACTATGGGGTTGGTCAACCTCTTTAAAAAGTCTAGAAAGGAGAAGGGAAATAGACGGTTAATTTATTAAGAACCTAATATGCACCAAGCACTGTGCCAGGGAATGTCCCACCTATTTTCCCAGCCATCGCTGGGAAAATAAACGTCAGTATTTCCTTTTTTTTTTTTTTCCTTTTGAGACAGAGTCTTGCTCTGTTGCCCAGGCTGGAGTGCAGTGGCGTGATCTCGGCTCACTGCAACCTCCACCTCCCAGGTTCAAGTGATTCTCCTGCCTCAGCCTCCTAAGTAGTTGGGATTACAGGTGCACACCACCACGCCTGGCTAATTTTTGTATTATTAGTAGAGATCGGGCTTCACCATGTTGGCCAGACTGGTCTCAAATTCCTGACCTCAGGTGATCCACCCACCTTGGCCTCCCAAAGTGCTGGGATTACAGGCGTGAGCCTTTTTACAGTGAGGTAAATGTTGAGGCTTTGCCCAAGGAGGTAGAAAATAGTAGATTTACAAGTCTGGCCTTTCAGACCTTCTAGAAAGCGTTTATTCATAGCAATGTGTGGTGCCTGATGATAGATTTGTGAGTCAACCAGCTAGAGTAAGAAAGAAAGAAAAATGGAACATCATCTATAAAACCTTGGCCATTGAAATTCTTCCTCGAATATATTGCAGCATTACTGCCTTCCACCACTTATTAGAGAATGGACAAACTATTGATGAAAAGATGAAAAGCAATCATGGCAATCATGGCAATAGCTAACTTTCTCAAAGAATGTCAGCTGCTCTGGTATTCTTGCATGCGGGTCTGGAGACAAATCCGCCCCATATCCTCTCTTGCAATCAAAACCTCCTGAACACACTCACTCAGGCACCAGCAGGAGCTTCAGAGCACCTGTGCACCAAGAAACCAAAGCAGGCAGTTTCGCTGCAGTCTTTTAAGGATCTTCTTAAAAACATATCAGAGGCTGGGCGCGGTGGCTCATGCCTATAATCACAGCACTTTGGGAGGCCGAGGTGGGTGAATCACGAGGTTAGGAGTTCGAGACCAGCCTGGCCAATATGGTGAAACCCCTTCTCTACTAAAAATAAAAAAAATGAAATAAAATAGCCGGGTGTGGCGGTGTGCACCTGTAATCCCAGCTACTTGGGAGGCTGAGGCAGGAGAATTGCTTGAACCCAGGAAGCGGAGGTTGCAGTGAGCCAAGATTGCACCACTGCCCTCCAGCCTGGGCAATAGAGGGAGACTCTAAAAAAAAAAAAAAAAAAAAAAAATATATATATATATATATATATATACACACACACACACATATATCAGAAAGAAAGAAATATATATCAGAAAGGAAGATATATATATATCAGAAAGAAAGCATTACTGTCATATTGTGGCCTTCCCAGTCACTATTATTAAAAGCAACAGATTCATTACTTCCTGAAGAAAAGTCAACCTTGGCCACCGAATGTCTTCCTCTTCCACAGGTCTTAGATAAAATGCCCCGTTCATTTTTCTCGTCTGTGTTTCTCTTTCTGAAAAAGCAGAAGATATTTTTAAGAAAAGAGAAATTGTATAATTGTACACAACTGTGTACAGACGTACCTCAGAGATATTGCAGGTTCAGTTCAAGACCACCCCAGTATAAAGTAAATATCACAATAAAGTGAGTCACACAAATTTTTCAGTGCATATAAAAGCTATGTTTACACTATACTGTAGTCTCTTAAGTGTACAATAGCATTATCTCTGAAAAAAAAAAGTACATACCTTAATTATAAAATACTTTATTACTAACAATCATCTGAGCCCTAGGTGAATAGTAACGTTTTTCTGATGGAGAGTCTTGCCTCAATACTGATGGCTGCTTACTGATCAGGGTACTGGTTGTTGAAGCAAGGGGTGACTGAGGCAATTTTGTAAAATAAGGCAACAGTGAGGTTAGCTGCATGAATTGAGCTGCCCTTTCACGCAAGGTTTCTCTTCAGTACGTGATGCTGTTTGATAGCATTTTACCCATAATAGAACTTCTTTCAAACTTGGAGTCAGTCCTCTCAAAACCTGCTGCTGCTTTATCAACTAAGTTTATGTCATATTCTAAATTCTTTGTTGTCTTTTCAACAATCGTCACAGCATCTTTACCAGGAATAGATTACATCTCAAGAAATCACTTTATTTGCTTATCCATAAGAAGCAGCTCCTCATCCATTCAAGTTTTATCATGAGGCTGCAGTGATTCGGTCACGTCTTCAGGCTTCATTTCTCATTTTAGTTCTCTCGCTATTTCCACCACATCTTCACTTACTTCCTCCACTGAAGTCTTGAACCCCTCAAAGTCATCCATAAGGACGGGAATCAACTTCCAAACTCCTGTTGATGTTGCTATTTTGGTCTCCTCCTATGAATCCCAAATATTATTAATGGCATCTAGGAAGGTAAATCTTTTCCAGAAGGTTTTCAATTTCCTTTGCCAAGATCCATCAGAGGAATTACTGTCTATGGCCATTATAGCTTTATGAAATTTTGTTTTGTTTTGTTTTGTTTTTTGAGACAAAGTCTCACTCTGTAGCCCAAGCTGGAGTTCAGTGGTGCAATCTCAGCTCACTGCAAGCTCCACCTCCCAGGTCCTGGTTCGAGCAGTTCTCCTGCCTCAGCCTCTGAAGTAGCTGGGATTACAGGCACACGCCACCTTGCCCAGCTAATTTTTTTATTTTTAGTAGAGATGGAGTTTCACCATGTTGGCCAGGCTGGTCTTGAACTCTTGACCTCGTGATCCACCCACTTTGGCCTCCCAAAGTGCTGGGATTACAGGCATACAGGCATGAGCCACTGCATCCAGCCGAAATGTATTTTTTAAGTAATAAGACCTCAAATTCTAAATTACTCCTTGATCCACGAATTACAGAATGGATGTTGTATTAAAATACATGAAAACAAAATTATCTTGTACATCTCCATCAGAACTGTTGTGTGGACAGATGCATTGTCAATGAGCAGTAATATTTTGAAAATGATCTTTTTTCTGCACAGTAGGTCTCAACAGTAGGCTTAAAATATTCAGTAAACCATATTGTAAATACTATGCTGTTATCCAGGCTTTGTTTTTCCATCTACAGAGCACAGGCAGAGTAGATTTAGCATCCTTCTTAAGGGTCCTAGGATTTCCAGAATGGTTAATGAGCATTGGCTTCCACTTTAAGTCACCGGCTGCAGTAGCCCCAACAAGAGAGTCAGCCTATCCTTTGAAGCTTTGAAGCCAGACATTGACTTCTCCTCTTTAGCCATGAAAGCCCTAAATAGTATCTTCTTCCAATAGAAGGCTATTCCATCTGCAGTGAAAATCTGTTTAGCACAGCCACCTTCATCAATGATCTAAACTAGATCTTCTTGATAACTTGCTGCAGCTTCTTCATCGGCACTTGCAGCTTCACCTTGCAGCTTTTGTTATGGAGACAGCTTCTTTCCTTAGACCTGGCCAACCAACCTCTGCTAGCTTCCAACTTTTCTTCTTTAGCTTTCTCACCTCTCTCAGCCTTCATAGGACTGAAAGTAGTTAGGGCCTTGCTCTGAATTAGGCTTTGGCTGAAGGCAATGTTGTGTCTGGTTTGATCTTCTTTCCAGACCACTCAAATTTTTCCATACCAGCAATGAGGCTGTTTTGATTTCTTATCATTTATGTGTTCACTGCAGTGGCACTTTTAATTTCCTTCAAGAATGTTTCCTTCACATTCACAACTTAGCTAACTTTTTGGTGCAAGAAGCCTAGTTTTCAGCTTGTCTTGGCTGTCAACATGCCCTCTTCACTAAGCTTAATCATTTCTAGTTTTTTATTTCAAAGTAAGAGATGAGTGACTTTCCCTTTCACTTGAATATTTAGAGGCCATTTTTGGGTTATTCATTGGTCAAAATTCAATATTGTTGTGTCTAGGGGAAAGGGAGGCCCAAGGACACGAAGAGAGACAAGAAACGGCTGGTAAATGGGGCAGCCAGAACATACACATTTATCAAGTAAGTTCACTGACTTTTTTTTTTTTCTTTTTTTTTTTTTTGAGATGGAGTCTCGCTCTTTTGCCCAGGCTGGAGTACAATTGTGCAATCTTGGCTCGCTGCAACCTCTGCCTCCTGGGCTCAAGAGATTCTCCTGCCTTAGCCTCCCAGGTAGCTGGGACTACAGGTGTGCACCACCACACCCAGCTAATTTTTTTGTATTTTTAGTAGAGACGGGGTTTCACCATCTTGGCCAGGATGGTCTCGATCTCCTGACCTCATGATCCACCTGCCTTGGCCTCCCAAACAGCTGGGATTACAGGCATGAGCCACCACGCCCAACCAGTTCACTGTCTTATATGGGTGTGGTTCATGGCACCCCAAAACAATTACGAATACAATCGTAGTATCAAAGATCACTGATTACAGATCACCATAACAGATATAATAATAATGTAAAAGTTTGAAATTTGTGACAATTGCCAAATGTGATGCAGACACCAGGTGAGTACATGCTGTTGGAAGGATGGCATTGACAGACTTGCTTAACGCAAGGTCGCCACAACCCTCCAATTTAGAAAAAACACAGTATCTGCAAATTGAAATAAAATGGACCACAATAAAACAAGGTATACCTGTATAAATACACATTAGTATTCTCCTTCGGGCAGATCTAGTGTGCTTGAATCCAGTTCCATGTCTCACTGTCCTTGCAGCGTTAGGCAAGTCACATTACTTCTCAGGGCCTCAGTTTCCTCAGTGTAAAGGAGGAAATAACAGCTTCCATGTAAATGCAGGTGAAGCAATTAGCAAAGTATCAGACACAGAGATAGTGCTTAGAAGGTGTTAGTTCTTACTACTAATAATTTACTATTAATAACTATGACATAATGCTTACTATTAATAATGTGTGTCTTATCCATATTGCTTTTCTTGGTTATTATTAACAATCCTTATAACTAACGCAGCGCCCCCTTACCCAGCAATAATTCTGTAGTAATAAGTGTTCCAAAACTACATATTCCTCTCTCTACCAGGCTTCTGGCTGTGCCTCTGCCCCACACCCTCCTTTCCCCTCTGCCCTGGGACCTACTTTTTAAAAGCACATTTGAACAGAGCCATTTTAAAACAGAGAGCTACTGTATTCTGATTTCCTCTCTGGCCCAGAGTAAAACATGCTTGATAAAGAGATATTATTTTAAGGGAAATGAGGCTAAACACACTTTTAGTGAGTTGAAAAACAATCAATTTAAAACCAATTAAGGTAATTAAAGAAAATGCCCAGTGAATTAACGCTCAGATTAAAAATAACAAGGCTAATTAAAAATAACGCTTTCATTGAGTTCCCCAATTAACAAATCACATTATTATTTTGAACTTGCTGTTCATTTCAACTCAGTAAAAGTGAAATTTTCTTTTAATAAGCTTCATTTCTGTGCTTAGGCAAATACTTTCTATATATAAGTCAATATTTTGTGTATGTATGTGCTCATATAAAAAATATTAAATTGTTTGCTTTGCCAAGAAGCTGAAAGAAATAACTAGGGCAGTGGTAATGGTTACCACTCTGGTCTCTGAATCCAGTAACTACGGTGTCTCTTGATAAATCCCAGGTGTATGATAGGGACTTTAACAAAGAGTTACTGAATTAATGAACGAGTATCCAGATTTTCTAAGATATCAACCTGGGAAGGGGGGCGAGTCAGGGCAAACTGAAGATAAAAGTAGAAAACAAATGTTTTCTTTGAACTGCGGTGGGTTTAGAAAACCCAAAAGTAACCAACATTTAAAAATCAGGAGGTGAGCTGGGCGCGGTGACTCATGCCTGTAATCCCAGCACTTTGGAAGGCTGAAGTGGGGGGGCGAATCACAAGGTCAGGAGTTCAAGACTAGTCTGGCCAACATGGTGAAACCCTGTCTCTACTAAAAATACAAAAAATTAGCTGGGCATGGTGGCAGGGACCTGTAATCCCAGCTACTCGGGAGGCTGAGGCAAGAGAATCTCTTGAACCTGGGAGGCAGAGGTTGCAGCAAGCCGAGATCGCACCACTGCACTCCAGCCCAGGTAATAGTGCAAGACTCCGTCTCAAAAAAAAAAAAAAAAAAAAAAAAATCAGGAGGTGTTACTTAAACATCTAGATTTCCAGCATCTCTTGATAGCACAGAAGCTCTAGAAACAATGGGCCTGTGTTTCTATACAGCAACACAGGCGTTACTAACAGCGGTTACTAACAGCGTTACTGGCGTTACTAACAGCGGCTCCCTTGATCAGAGCAAGGGCTCCTAGGGGTTCCTGTGTTTGCCTCCAGCCCTACTCCTCACTTCTATAGTGACAGTAAGGGGTAATTGCTATGTTCTGTATGCTTGCACCTCTTTAGAGAAATAGTTCTCTGGAATGTTTTTATCTCAAGTGGGAAAATTTTTGAAAGCCACATTACTTTTCATATATTTGCCTGCTTTATTTAGTTACGTACCTGGTTGGCCCTAGAGGTGTTTGAAATAAATGTGACCACCCATCTACTGGGATATACAATCATGAAAGAGGTAATGAATCAAAGCCATGTAATACAATCACATGCTAAACTGGTACCACAGTTTAATCCAATTTAGTGTTCCGCAACCTCACAAAAATGTTCAGATCAGGAGGGATGTTTGATGTACAGTCCAATGGCCTTATTTTACAAACAAGGGTCCGGAAGCCCGCAGAAGGGGAGTGACTTACCCACGGTCACACAGTGAGTTAATGGCAAGGCTTAAGTCAGGACCTGAGGCTCCTGGTGCCAATGTGGAGTCAGGGCCACCAGACTCCACAGGTCATGGAGGTTACACAGGTGGCATGTCCTCTGAAAATGTGCTCAGTTGATGTGGCATCTGATAGGGGAGGCTGGCTGAAATCTAGTCCTTGCCCCCTTGGCATCTGGCTCAGAGCTGCTTCCGCTGAAGGAAGCCGCCTTTTCTTAATTAGTAAAAAAGATGTTATGAGGACTCAGGGGATCCTGCGTGGTGTAGTTTTCATAAAGGAAAAAGAAACAAGACAGGGCGTTTGAGTCAAAGAGATCTAGGTTTGAATCTTGACTTGTCCCCTTATTCATAGTGACATCTCAAGCAAGTCACAATATATCCGGGTCTCTGTAAAAATGGGGCAAAGCACAGTGGTTCACACTTGTAATCCCAGCACTTTGGGAGGCCAAGGTGGGAGAATTGCTTGAGGCCAGAAGTTCAAGACCAGCCTGGGCAACATAGCGACACCCCATTTCTACAAAAATAATAATAATAATAATAATAATAATAATAATAATAATGAAAAAGTGGTGTTGGGCCTGTAGTCCCAGCTACTCTAGAGACTGAGGCAGGAGGGTGGCCCAGAGGTTCACTGCTGCAGTGTGACCATGCCACTGCACTCCAGCCTGGGTGACAGAGACCCCATCTCTTCTATAAAAAATTATATATATACATACATACCTATATATGCATACACATACACTATTAAAATTATGTTCACCTATTTCTTTTTACTTTTTAAAATGTGCCTACTAGAAAATGTATAATTATACACGTGGCTCTCTCTAGAGTTCCAGGGACAGCACTGCCATGGCTGGGGGTAGGGGATGAAAAATAATGCCTAACCCACAGAGCTGTTGTGAGGCTGCCCAGTCCTAAAGCTGGTGACATAATAGGTGCTCAGTAGAAGCCCCATTGTTACAGAGTCACAGAGGTGGGGTCCAGCACCTTTTAGTTTTCAGTCTCCTAACGTGCACATAGTGCTCTCAAAAAAACGTGGCAAGAATCACCCCAGCCCAACCCCACTCTCCCAGCAGCAGCATGTCGCAGGGAGAAGAGATCAGCGGGCAGACAGTCAGCTTTGGCAAAGTGCAATTCACCATCAACAGCCCTGACACCCAGAATTTGAGGGTGAGGAGAGTGCACCTCGATTGTTGGGGGCCTTGGAATTCTACTCAAAGTCATTTCTGAGTGGCTGCAACATCCCCAAGCTTAGATGCCCCTTGGCTTGCTTGTGAAAGCCTGTGTGCCCTGTGCGGTGACAGAGAGAAACCAAGATTCTCTTTGAGCTTTCTGTGGCTCCTCTTCCAATTGGGAAACCTTAATAAGACTCAGTCTCCACCTCTATGTGGTGAGAAGAGTGGTATCTTCCCTACTGACCTCTCTAGATCGAGTGATATGTTGCTTTTAAAAGTTCTTGGAAAGGTTGAGAGAGCAACCCAAAAAGTAAGAGTTAATTCTTGTCATTGTTTCCAAAGAAACACATCTTCAGTGTGGAAAATACCCGTGAGAAGAAAAAAAAAGGAAATTAAAATCCTTCATAATCTCACCACTTTAATGATTATTTAGTGTCTCATTACTCAAAGTAGGATAAGCTGGGAACCCATTAGAAATGCAGAATCGCAGACCCCACCTATATTAGTTTTCTCAGGCCACCTTAATAACAAAATGCCATAGACTGTGGGGCCTTAAACAACAGACATTTTTTCACAGTTCTGGAGGCTGCAGGTACAAGATCAAGGTGCTGGCAGGGTTGGTTTCTGGTACAGCTTCTCTCCTTGGCCTGCAGATGGCAGCCTTCTTTGTGTATCCTCCTGTGTCTGTTCCTCTGTGCCTGCATGTGTACATGACACTCCTGATATTTCTTTCTCCTCTTATAAGGACACCAGGCCTATCAGATTAGGGCCCCACCCTATCACCTCATTTAACTTTAATTACCTCTTTAAAGATCCTATCTCCAAATAGAATTGCATTGAGGGTTAGGGTTAAGGCTTCGACATATGAATTGGGACAGGGCGAACACAATTCAGTCCATAACACAGCCCGAGACCCACTCTATCGGAATCTTGATTTTGACCAGATCCCCAGTGATTCATATGCACATTAAAGTCTGAGACACACTGGTTTTAGTGTACAATCTTCCAGTCCTTTTTATATATGTTTTTACATATGTGCCAAAATAAAACCATATGTACTGTATTCTAAGCTATTTTGTTCAGCAGTATAATATTTAGCATATGTTATCAACAGTATCCTATGTCATTTAATATTAGCCACATCCTATGTGATGACCACAGCATATTCCATTATACAGATGTATCTTAATGTTCCTAATTACTTCCTTATGCTTAGGTATTTATATGGCTTTCAATTTTTCACCGTTATAAGAAACACTGTAATGAACCTCCTTGAAGCAACATTACTTATGTACAGCCATATCTATCCTAAGAAAAAAAATTGAACTGAACCTTTTTTTTTCTGGCCCTTTAGGAGGCCCTCGCCAAGCTCAGTCTCCTCAGCCCCAGAGATCTGGAAGCCCCTCCCAGCAGAGGCTCTCCCCACAAGGCCAGCAGCCCCTGAGCCCCCAGTCCGGATCTCCACAGCAGCAAAGGTCACCAGGCTCTCCACAGCTATCCCGGGCATCCAGTGGCAGCTCCCCAAACCAGGCCTCCAAGCCAGGTGCCACCCTCACCTCACAGCCCCGGCCCCCTGTGCAGGGCCGTAGCACCTCCCAGCAGAGTGAAGAGTCCAAGAAGCCAGCACCACCCCATCCGCATCTCAAGTAAGTGCTGTGGGAATTGGAAAAGGTATAGGATCGAGCTGGGGTGTAGGCAGGGCTTGGCTGATTCAGGGTTAGGGACTTGGAGACAAAGGAAGACCCAACGAGGCCTTGCCTAGACTTCAAATAGGTAAAAACAAGACTAGAGGATGGAATTTGCTGGGGAGGCCCAAGAAGGTGAGAGTATAGATTAGACACCACCGTGACCCTCCATGTATACACATATCAGTTATTTTTTGCCGCATAACAAACCACCCCAAAACTTAGTGGCTGAAGAAAACAATCATTTTCTTTGTTTGTAATTTTTTGGTTCAGCTGTCTGTTCTGAGTATATCTCAGTTGGGAGGTTCTTCTGCTGGTGTCTCCTATAGCGTTACAGGATAAAACACAGGATACCCAGTTAGATTTACATTTCAGATAAAAAACAGATGATTGTGAGTGTAAGTATGCCCCAAACATTGCATGGAATATACTTACACTAAAGAAAAGTCTTAGCTTTTCATCTGAAATGCACGTTTATCTTCCTATTTGTATTTGCTAAATCTGGCAACCCTACTTTCCTGGGATCACTCATACAACTGCAGTCACGTGGCAGCTTCACTGAGGCTGAATGGTCCAGGAAGGCCTCACACACACATCTGGTTGCTGGTGCTGGCTGTTAGCTGGGGCCTCTCTCTCTCCATGGGGTCTCATCCTCCCCAACACTAAGCCAAGCTCTCTCACATGGTAGAACTGCTTTTAAAAAGGGAGAGAGTGCAAGTTGCAAGGCCTCTTGAGGCCTAGCCTTGGGAGTTATGAAGTGTTATTCTATCACATGCTTTTAGTCAAAGCAAGTCACAGGGCCAAACCGACATTCAAGAGGTAGGAAGTAAACTCTTGGTGGGAGGAGCCATGAAGTCACATCTCAAAAGGGCAGGCTACAGGGACAAGAGGAATCATTGCAGTCATTTTTGTAAGCCATCCATCACAATACGCATATACATCCTGTTTCCCCTCAGGCCTATCTCTTGGTTTGAGGTCCTAAAGAGAGGTCCCAAGTAACTGTTCTTTGGAAAGCTCTACTTTCCTTCAAGGCCAAATGTTGATCATCACAGTTCACAGCTAACAGCTATTGTCCACTTACTATGTGCCAAGCACTTTACTTACTTGGGTTTTTTTAAGTTCTCACAAGCTTAGGAGTTAATAACTATTTCTTATCCCCATTGTACAGATAAGTAGCAAAGAAAGATTAAATAACTTTCCAAAGGTTCCAGTTAATAACTAAAAGAGCTGGGATTAAACCCAGGACATCCAGTCCAGGGATCATGTTAACAACTATTTTTTTGTATAGGTAATATATTCACATGGTTCAAAGATCTAAAAGATATCAGGCCAGGTGCGGTGGCTCACGCCTGTAATCCCAACACTTTGGGAGGCCAAGGTGGGTGGATCACCTGAGGTCCGGGGTTCGAGACCAGCCTGGCCAACATGGTGAAACACCATCTCTACTGAAAATACAAAAATTAGCTGGGTGTGGTGGTGCACACCTGTCGTCCCAGCTACTTGGGAGGCTGAGCTAGGAAAATCGCTTGAACCTGGGAGGTGAAGGTTGCAGTGAGCTGAGATTGTACCACTGCACTCCAGCCTGGGTAACAAAGTGAGACTCCATCTCAAAAAATAAGTAAATAAATAAAAGATATCAAAGATGTATGTTGAAAAGCCTCATTGCTGCCCGATTCTCATCCAATGCTTTGCTGCCCTGTTCCCCAGAAATGACTTTTGTTAGTTCCTATGTGTCCTTTCAGTGCTTCCTTATGCAAATAAAAAATATTTGCATAAATAATAAAAATGTTCAGCTCCTTGCCCTCATTTTCTTACACACACAGGAGTATTCACTCTCCACACCATTTTGCTCACTGCTTTTCATGTTTAATAATAAATCCTGGAGCACCCAGTTCCTTGGAATTTTATTTTTTATGGCCATATAGTATTCCACTGTACAGTTGTACTATAATTTATCTAACTAATCCACCACAAATAGAAACTTGGTTTGATCTTACAAATAATGCTGCAATTAATAAATCTTTTTTTTTTTTTGAGACGGAGTCTCGCTCTGCCGCCCAGGCTGGAGCGCAGTGGCCGGATCTCAGCTCACTGCAAGCTCCGCCTCCTGGGTTCACGCCATTCTCCTGCCTCAGCCTCCTGAGTAGCTGGGACTACAGGCGCCCACCACCTCACCCGGCTAGTTTTTTGTATTTTTAGTAGACACGGGGTTTCACCGTGTTAGCCAGGATGGTCTCGATCTCCTGACCTCGTGATCCGCCCGTCTCGGCCTCCCAAAGTGCTGGGATTACAGGCTTGAGCCACCGCGCCCGGCCAATTAATAAATCTTAACATATACTTTCATAGTTGCAAGACTCACTCTAGAGAAAATAACCTGACACGGTATTGTTGGATCAAAGGATAAATGTATTTTTAGTTTGACAGACACTAGCAAATGGCCCTCCTGGCAATATGGAATAGCAGCTGACAGCACAGACTCTAGAGTCAGACTGTCTGGGTTCAAATCATAGTTCTACCACTTAACTACACGACTGGCCGGGCGCGGTGGCTCAAGCCTGTAGTCCCAGCACTTTGGGAGGCCGAGAGGCGGATCATGAGGTCAGGAGGTAGAGACCATTCTGGCTAACACGGTGAAACCCCGTCTCTACTAAAAAATACAAAAAACTAGCCGGGCGAGGTGGCGGGCGCCTGTGGTCCCAGCTACTCGGGAGGCTGAGGAAGGAGAATGGCGGCGTGAACCCGGGAGGCAGAGCTTGCAGTGAGCTGAGATCCGGCCACTGCACTCCAGCCGGGGCGACAGAGCGAGACTCCGTCTCAAAAACAAACAAACAAACAAACAAACAAACAAACAGATACGACCTCACATAAGTTGCCTAACCTCGCTGTGCTTCAATTTCCTCACGTGCAGAATGGTGACAATAACCCCATGGGGTTATTATAAGGATTGCAACGAGTTTCTGTACAGTTGGTGCTTACAATGCTGCTGGCACCATAGAGGCTTATCTGTGTACAGCCTGTCACCACATAAGAAGGTCAGTCCAGCTAATCACAGGACAGACAAGGGCTCTGGGCCTTAAACCAGGTTTGGTCACTGACCTTACAGTGTTCTAGCTAAAAACACGTAAATTTCCTGACTTACTGCTTTGAAGAATTTGGCTCAATTCAAGTCAGCGGGTATTCACCAAATACCTACTCTGTGCCTTGTTCTAGATAAGACTTTCCGAGGGGTAAGAAGGAGTAAAAGACAGTCCCTGCTTTAAAGTCCCGTTTTTAATGTGATGACCGCATCACATGCAGAGCTCTTAAACTTTTGACACATTTACATCATCTCTTCCTATGTCTGTTGCCTCCCCTCCTATGACTGTGAGCCTCCTGAGGCAGGGCCTGAATCATATTCATCTTACACCCCTGTCCCCTAGCACGGGGGAAGTGCTCAACAAGCAGTTGCTACAGGCTGGCATTTGGGAAGCACTCAGAATGGCACCTGCCATTCAAAAAGTTGGCACTAAAAGAATTCCAAAAGGGGGTGGGGGGCAGAACTGGCCATAAAGACATTGGAGAAGAGATGGGGATTGAAGTCCAGAATGTCAGAGCTGGATGAGGCCTGAGGGTCAGCAGGACGAAGCCTTCGCTCTACAGATGAGATAAATGAAGCCCTGAGAAGGTAAGTTCCTTGCCCAAGGCCACAGACATCAAAGAGCAGAGAAGGTTCTAGAATACAGGCCTCCTGATACCTAAACTAGTGCTGGAAATAACTATAACCTGATGTTGATACAGCACATTGCAGTTTACAAAGTGGGTTTGTACCCACAGGCAGGAGAGCAGCCAAGCTACTACTCCAGCAATGCCTGCTGCCTCAACAGCCTGGCATAATGGAAAGAATGTGACCTCTGGGTGCTCCCCCATTACTTGCTGTGAGGACCTGAGCAAGTTAATTGACTCTGTGAACCCCTATTCCTGAACCTAAGAAATGAGGAACAAACCACCTTGCAAATTATGTGTGTAATGTACCTAACATCATGTTAAGCATTGGAATGCCTGGTTTCTGACCTTAATAACTTTATGATGATTGGGGTAGCCCATCTGGCTCACAGGCAAGCCCCCAAGACCCATTTGATAGTCTATGCCTTGTCTTCCTCAACCCCCTTGCCTTTCTGTTTCAGCAAATCTCAGTCCCTGACTAACAGCCTCAGCACATCCGACACCTCCCAGCGTGGGACCCCAAGTGAAGACGAGGCCAAGGCCGAAACCATCCGCAACCTGAGGAAGTCTTTTGCCAGCCTGTTCTCTGACTAACACCATCCAGGCTGGGAGGGGAAGAGTGCTCTGCTACACTCGTCCCCCTCCTGCCTCATCTTCCTTCTCAGCCTTGGTTCCTGATGGGAACAGAATGGAGGGCCTGAGAACATACTTCCTAAATGCCTTCGACCCAGGAACTGATTATATTTGTTCCCAGTTTCCTTTACCGTGACATTCCAGCATTGTCTGACTGAGAGGTGGGCCTTTGAGAGCCTCCAGGTTCCTCAAAACAGGCCTGAGAGATGGGCGTCACATCCCTCTGCCTACCCACATACCCCGCTTCCCTGCCAGATAACCAAGTGAGATGTCTGCGAGTGGCTAGTTTTCACATCCTTATTAGTGTTTTGCTCACCTTTGGGTAAAGGCCCCCTCTAGGCCTTGCCCTACCTCCATCAAATGCAGACACTGTAGTCGGACCTCAGCAATATAGGAGGCAATAATCTTTTAACAGTGTTTTGCAAACAAAAAAAGAGAAAATCCCAGCCAGGGGAACTCGCCACCTGCCCACGCTAGTTCCATCCATGCTCAAGACTTGCCCTTAGACCAGACAGGCAAAGGCCCCCATCACACTTGGCCACTAGTGGGGTCCTGAAGCCAAGAAAGAAATGAGACCCTGTATGACAAGTGGGGTCTTGGAGAACACAACAGAAACAGAGGGGCCCTGGTAATGCCACTCATACTCAGAGCATTATTCTTATTTGGACAGCCGAGAGCAGATCACAGGTTCTTGTAGGAATAAAGACGAGTTCACAGAGGAGAAAGAGGCCTGGGACCTCCCAAGGAAAGGGTCAGGTTAGGATCCTGTACCCATTCTGTTACACCACTGTTTGGTCTCTCTGGCCTCCCACCAGGAAAGCCGTTTCCTTTTTACGGATCTGTTGGGAACCAGAGAGAAGCAACAGATGAATGACGTAGGATCTGAAGTGCAATGGCAGTCACTTCTAGTTTGGCATCTCACAAACTCTGTACAGAAAGGTGTTGGCAGGTTACTCAATTTCAAAACGGGCCCCATGGTCAAATATGTTTAGGAACTACTGTTTGTATTTCTTTTTTGGAGATGCATTGTATATAATATATGTCAAAGGCTTTTGGAATTCCTGCAGGAAAGAAATCAGCTTTGTTAAATCCAAACTGATTTGACTCAATAAGTTAGCTGCAGAGCTGGAAAAAGTAGGCTAACTCCCTTCCCAGTGCTCTTTCCCCTGTACCAGCCTGCCCCTCATGCTTAGATAGGGTTCAGAGGTGACCTAAATCACCAAGCACCTGGTGCTAGAAACATAGTAGGTGCCAGAAGCAGCCTCCTGGTCTCGAAGAGAGCCACGATACTAGAACATAGCTATGTCAGCCCCTTGCCTCCCACTTTGCAACCCGAGATACGTCTTCCCTTTGCTGTCCACGGGGAAGGGAGAGAGGGAGGTAAAAATGGAAGTGGCTCTGGCCTGGAGCAGCTTCTAGTTATGCGCAAGTAATGTAGATTGCTTGGTAATCAGCCGAGATCCATCCAGGTTCCCAGGAGCATAAAAGCAATCATCTCCTTTTTGGTCCTCCAAAACCAAACTGGGGTGGTGACATCAGGGCCAGAGACCCTCTCCTTCTGTGGGCATTGGGTCACTTAGAACTCTCAACCTCAGAAAAGCCTGCCTTCAAGCTGGCTTTTGACAGGTTATTGGCTGGAGACTGGCTCAGTATCGAAAGTGCTAGCTGTGCACCTGGCTGCCAGAAAGCCACTTGGCCTTTAGGGCGGTCCTCTTCACATTGCCCTCTTCCCTCACTCATGATCAGGTCTGGATTTAAGAGCAAGAGACCCCAGGAAAATTCAGAAGTCGTCTCTCTCCTCTTGTTCAAGACCCTTGGTCTGGGATTCAATAATAAGTAGCAGACCTGGCATAAGAAAGATCAGATAAGTCAATTGCCAGTGACCATCGGGAGCCATAATTTGGCAGCTGGAGACTGGTAGGCGCAGGTCTGATTAACACTGGCGAGGATCCGCAGCAAATAAAATAGCCATTGTGTGAGGTGAGAAGTGAACAGCTGAAGGCCCTGTACTCTTTCTAGTGCCCAAAAGCCCACCACCCTTACTCTATCTCCACGCTCGGCTGAGTTCCGTGTTATAGGACAGTCCCTGCATGTCTGGAGCTCACTCTGCCCAGTAACACATCTCCCTTCTTTTTGCTCAATGCAACAGAATAGTCTGGCCAGGAGCTGCCAGAATCCTATCCAGAGGCAGCTGAGATGATGCGGTGGGCAGTCAGACACATGAAGCTGCTGCTTTGCAGGCATCGCCCTCTCATCATCACATTCTTCTAGACCCCCAAGGTGGGTGGAGGTGGGGGTCCTGAGGTCAATATCCCACAGTCATGCCTGGGGGAGGTCAGGTGATGGCAAGGAATAGATCAGACCATTTATAATCCGGCAGAACTTTGCTTCGTCCTCCTGCTGCTGCTCACTTAACCCTTTCACCGCTCCCTTGCAGCTTCTGAAGAAAGCCAAGTGGGGCATGAGGAAAAGAGACAGGAGGTGAAATTCAAAACGTCAGATGCGGGTACCTTTTAAAGCTATTCTGTTAAAAGAAATCTATCTAACAGAAGAGAGTATAAATATTGATTAACGTAAGGTTTGATGATTAGCCAATGATTCTAGGAGTCCCATTACTTAAACGCACACACACGCACACGCACACACACACACACACGCGCACACATACACATACATGCCTGGATAATAACTGGGAATTGACAAATGCACATCCTAAAATCCTGTCACCTCATGATCAGTTAGTTCATAGTTGTCTGAAAACCTGCTTCAAGAGAATGGCTTCCCGACTTGTCCCCAAGAAGATAGGGGTCACTAGTATAAGTCACACGATGAGAGAACCAGAATATCAACCTCTCAGACTTGAGGGTTCCTGGGCTCTTGCCCCTTCTTTCCTGACAAGGGCAGGTGAGGCTTCCCCATTAGAAGGACATGGGGCACTGCTTATAAGAGCAGCCTATTACAAGATCCAAGCACAGAGAGCTACAGGAGTTGAAGTTTGGTTCCTTCCACTTAACAAAAATATATCCACCCTCCTTTCTCAGGGGTAGACCTTTCAAATATTAATAAATAATGCTGTGCGACATCCTGAATAAACGGGTAAAAGAAAACTTGTAGGGCAGGATGTAACCACAAGGTCCACAAGTTTCAGGAGATTAGGAACACAGGAAACCCCTGTGGCAATCGTCCCTCTTCAACAATCTCACCCAATTTTCACTTAGTAATAAAAGACAGCTCAAAACACACAACTGAATGGTAACAGGCTGGCCAAAGTTTCTCAATGTGTGGGCCATGGCCACGGGCAGAGCTAGTTACAAAGGCAGATGAAGCTTCATTTCGGACCAAAGGAGTCAGAATTTCTGGTCACAGGACCCAGAACCTGCATCTTTGTCAATGTCCCCGCTTTGAGTCCACTTTGAAGTGAGACCAGCAACCTAAGCTGGGCTGTGTGGGAAAGCCACTGCATGAGAAACAGTACTGGTATGGGTGTGCTATAGTCTCCAACGCAGCTAAGAACCCACTCCTTTAGTGAACAAAACTAGTGGCCCCGTGAACAATGACCACATGGCCTAAATCCTCCCATATTCCTATATTCCGTCCTTTGTCCTCAGACACACCTCCGCATTCAAAGGATAGCTCCCAGATACTCCAGTATCTGCGTACAACAGCAGCAGAAACTCCTTCCAAACTCCAAATCAGCAGGCATCCTGATTTTTATAACCATGCACAGATATATCCAGATCCATGACATAACACGTTTATAGTCAACATGTTTAAATAATTTCCCCACTGGTCTGTGTATGAACATAGAAACCAAGGGCACATAGGTCTCATAGTGACCCCAAAATGGTTGTTTTGTCACACAGGCTAGCACGTGTTCCTTCCAAAAATGTAACCTTTAGTAATTGTGACATTTTGAAATGGGAAAGGGCAAAAAGGAGGGAGAGGGGAGTCATGCTATATAGACTCTAAAATGTTATGTTCGTTGTTTTTTTTTTTGTTTTTTTGCTTTGTTTCGCAACTTTAGAGCCAGAGAAAGGCTAGCATTTTCCCTCCAAGCTGACTCGGGGAAGCTGAAACACAACAAAGACCTATTTGATTTGTGCACAATGAACAGGGATTTAAAAACGCAGCCTTAGTGGACAGCTCTACCAGCCAGAGAAAAGTTCTTCCAGATCTTCCTCCCGTCAGCACGATAAAATGGTACTATGCTTTGGTTAAATGTAAAATCAGCTTTCCAAGAACAGTGGAATATCCTTTCTCTTCCATCAGTTCCCTAGATTCTCTTCGTTACTACATTCTCTAGCCTAACATTCAGTCCCTGCTGAATTAACTAATATTCAGATACATTCAAGATAGAACTCACACTCAGTTCTATCTTTCCAAAATTTAAGAGGATGAGAGGTCTTCACTCGCATGGTAACAAACGCAGCAGCAAACCCCATAAAACTGAACATCAACTGCCTTCTGGAAGTTCTCATCTGGCAAGCTAGTGCAGGTATCTTGTGCATGGGTCAAGAGAGTGAAGCTCAGAGCACACTGCTTGGCACCCAGCAGGTGTTCAGGACAAGTTTTAGCTCAGCCCTCCTAGAAAACTATGAAATAAAATCCAAACAAAAGTATTAAGAATGAAATAAAAGGATGTTTTTCTAAGAGTATCAATATATGGAAGTGACTTGCCCAAGAATAGACTCAAACCAACCAAAACCCAATAAAATGAGATAATTGAGAAAGCAGCAGCAGAAAATGTCAGGTTTTCCACCTCAAAAAGACCTCTTCTAAACTGAATCTGAAGAGGGATGGGAGGAGGCAGAACGAGAACATGACACCGCTCCTCGGGGCCTACAAGAAGGTAAGGTGACTGCAGGGCTGTGAGCCATAGGGGAGTTGCCATTGTCAGCATCAGTCAGGGAGGCTGGAGTGAGCAGACCAGGACAACTCCACAGCTTCGGCAGCAAAGGTCCAGGACCAAGGAAAGCAAGTACACAGATTGTGCTTCACACAACAAACACAGCAGTTTCCAAACAGCACAGCCTCAGTTCGAACCGGCCCAGGAGCACACCATGTCCTTTCAGGACCTGCCCCTTCCAGTGCCCTAGGGCAGACTAATCTCTTAATGCTTTATTCAACTTCGTAAAACACTGGTGGCTCATTTTATGTGTTTTGAATTGGTGAAAGGATGCAGGTTGGTCACGGGTTAAGCTCGGTAAGTCAGCCTTGCAGATACAAGTGGCAGCTTAATTATCCTGGAGGCAGAGCTCATTGCCTAAGAGCACTTTCACACGAGTCTCTGCTTTTCCTTTATCCTAGAGGGCAAGCTGGCTGGTTACTAATTATACTGTCAAAAGCTGTCCTAGGCTCCTGAGTTGCTGCTGATATAAGTGTTTCAGCCTAATATTTGGACTCTAATAGAAGGCAGCACTTTTGGTTTGGTAAGAGACAAACTGGAAGGCTGGGCAACAAGTAAGTTAAAGTTGTCCATTTATCAAACACAATGCCTAAGAGACACAGAGGCTCCCTTCTGTTTCCATGCACTGGCTGTTTCCACACAGCTGAAAGAGATGAGCTGTGGACACTTAGACCTTGTATTGAGATGAATTCACTGGCCAAGAGGAAAAGAAGAAAGTGGTTGGGAAATATTTTTTGGAACTGGTGGGGCATTCCTGTAAGGGAAATCAATCTAAAACTAAACATTCTTTCTACAACATGTGTATAAAATACACTTTTTTATATATATACAGACACGGTCTTGCTATATTGCCCAGGCAGGTCTCAAACCCCTGGCTTCAAGCAATCCTCCCACCTAGGCCTCCCAAAGTGCTGGGATTACAGGTGAGGGCCACTGCACCTGGCTACACATTTTAATCCTTGAAAATCCTAAATCCCTTTGTTTTTACACTGATTAATCTTCCCAAATGTAATTTGTTTCCATCCTCTCACATTCTAAGTGTCTGCTCTCCATGGTCTTTCACTGAGTCTAGAGCAGAAGCAAGATCACAGTTCTTTGGCACTCAGTTAACGTACTATGTTTTGCTATGGATTAGCAGAAACTAAATGCTGTAACCTATTGGGGAATCTCAGGAGTGATGTTTAAGCTAGTCAGTTTAAATCAAATCCTTGTTCTATGTGACTTACCCAGTACTTCCCAATGATCTTATCCAGTCATCTTCTACAGTCAACTGAAGACTACACAAAGAAGCACTGCTCATGCATATGGCACAGCAGAGCACTGGGACCCGCCCAGCTCCTCTCTGAAGCTCTGTAATTGGGCCGCTACTGCCTAGAGTAGGAGAGAGGCAAGCCTTAGTGCTGGGCCCTGAGTATAGTGAGCAAAAGAAGAAATGTCCAGCTCCATGAAAGAATTACAGAGGTAATAAGCAAAGCAGTGGTCTCAGGAATTGGAAAGACCCAAGCAAGAGTCAGAATTCAACAGTTTTTACACAAAGAATATCAAAATCTTAAGTTGGAAGGACACCTTCCATGATTTGATTCCCAGCCACATCAAACTTCCATTTATAAATGAGGGGAATGGGGCAGAGAAAGCTCCTGTTAATAAAAGAGGAGGCCACGCACAGTGGCTCACACCTGTAATCCCAGCACTTTGGGAGGCCAAGGCGGGCAGATCACGAGGTCAAGAGATCAAGACCATCCTGGCTAACACGGTGAAACCTCGTCTCTACTAAAAATACAAAAATTAGCTGGGCATGGTGGTGCGTACCTGTAGTCCCAGCTACTCGGGAGGCTGAGGCAGGAGAATCGCTGTAACCTAGGAGACAGAGGTTGCAGGGAGCCAAGGTCATCCACTGCAGTCCAGCCTGGCAACAGGGCAAGACTCCATCTCAAAAAAAAAAAAAAAAAAGAGTAAAGGGAAAATAAGGGGCTACAGAAAGGCGTAGGACATACCAATGATGTCGAACCACATCTTACTAAGATGCGTTGCTGTGGCACTCTAAACTCTTGCTTGCTTCCATTACAGTACATCCAGGTGATCTCAGAAAATCGTGCAGTGAACAGGCTTCTGTGAAACTACGATTTTCCTCTCATTATACACCAGCAATACATACAGCTCAACAGTCTCAGTTTAATGACAAGAATGTAGGACTTCACAAGCTTCTAACTATAAATTCAGCTTTTCAAGAGGAAATGCGTTGAGGATTGTCTTAAGAATTATTAAAAAAAACTATTGTGAGAGATCTGCAAATTTAGGTTTAGGCATACTGCCAATATCCTAAACTAAGCGAGATTTGTAATGTCTGCCAGTTAGTCTGAGGTGAGGATGGAAAGCAGCACCAGTATCCACAGGACACCAGCACCATCCATGGAGTTCTCAAGGGCCACTCAAAAAAGACTGCATTCTGAACACTTGTTGTTTTATAGTATTTGGTGCTTCTAGTCGTCACCATGTCCTCCCACACCCATTACACACATACACACATCCGCTGCATAGTGCAACACAACATTGCAAAGCCACAAAGAAATGTATCAGAGAACTAGTATATGGACCCAACAAAGCTTCAGGAGGACCTTGTTAGACCCAATTAAAGCCATATGGCATCTAGTGAACACATTTTTAAAAGGCTGTCCTGTAGCTCAGATATTACAAAATACCACAGAAACAAATGTAAACAACTCCAATCCTTTACTATACATTAAGCTACTAAAAGTAACAGGCCTCAAGAAAATCATATTATTGACTGAATTTTCTTCACTGTGATTATAAAAAAAAAAAACTCAATATACATGTGTAGCAAAAAAAAAAAAAAAATTCACTTGTATGTAGGACTCAAAATATTCTTGCAGCACTTAACATTCCAAGCCATTTCCTTATATGCAAAACAATTTTTAAAAAAGCAGGAAGACATTGGCAATATTCCTATTTTCTGTAGATGCTAGTAGTGGTTTATTCCTATGTTGTGAATCAGATTTTGTCACTATAGCATGTTTCTATAGTTGTTTGTATAAGTCATTTGTGTTTGGCCTTTTTCTTGTAGAAAAAATAAATCTTGAATTTTGTGTATTTAAGTCTGAAAAGCAAAATGTTCTTCAAATAAGAGGCTATCTTTGAAGAACAATACCTGATTAGCACTCACAGCAGTAAAACTTTTTTAAAAGATATCATCTACTTAAATTACAAATTAGGGACTAAGTGTTCAAAACACAAGGAAAACAAAATCATAACCACCTCATCCCAGGAGCCACAAACAGGAGTCCCTAATACCAAATGGCCTTTGAACAACATTGCTTCACAGCCCAGAAAGTTCCACCACAGAACCCAAGAAAGAGCTGCAGAGAGAGAAGAGGTGGACCTGAGTGGGTGTGTGGCCAAAGCACCCACCCCAAGTCCAGTTCAACCAAACTAGCTGCTTTCATTCAGTTCATAAATCAGGCCTTTGAAAAAGATAGAGCACTGCTAAAATGAAAAAACAAAACAAAAAAAAACAAAAAAACAGAAACCCCTTACAAAAATTATCTGCCTATGCTATGTTCTGATAATTCTGAAATGTCCAAATAACATTGTGTATCTGTTCTGAATATTTATTACATATCTTTCTGTAATAAAAATCAAGACCACCATGTCATTTACACTTTTTTTTAATCTGGTAAGAACAGCATCAGAAAACAACCTTCGATCTAGAGGAGAACCAAGAGCAGGGAGATCAGCAGCCAACTATTCCCAAGGCCAACCTTGCCACAAAGGAACCTTTGGGTCACACCACCCCTAAGGGCTGTAAATATATCTCTTAAAAAGCTTCTGGGAGTGCAATTCTCACCACTACAATCAGAAATAACACTCGAGATCAGCACCCCAAGGAGTTGACATCTGTAGTTTAGAAACAAAAACAAATGGAGCTCCAGAAATGAAATTACAAATCAATCACATGAATGACAGGCGGCCGTCAGTTGGCCGACCCCTACTGGGTCTAAAGGGAAATCTGTCATTGGGGCCGCCTCGCCCTGGCAAGATGGGGTTAGGTCCTGGGAGTGGGCCAATTGGATCAAAGCGTGGTCTGAGTGGAGGGAACTGGCTGGGCGTCTCCCCAGGACCAGGAATGAGTGAATTGATTGGGTCTCCAACATAGGGAAGTGTTGGTCTTTGGTCATATTCACCCCCGATAATTCCTGGAGGAAGGCGGGAGCTAGGAAATGGCCTAGGGTGCAAGGGGTTGGGATAGAATGGAATGCCGTGAGTTGACGATGGCAGGAGCATCACAAACCGCCCTTTGGGGGATTCTTTTCTTTGTATGTGCCTCTTCCTGTACAGCTGTAGAAAAAAGAAAAATAAAAGAACAAGATAAGGTAAGTGATCTGGATGTTTCCCTGTAGTTCTAATTTGCTTTCATAGTAAAGATCTATAGGTACACCTCAGAGATATTGTGGATTTAGTCCCAAACCAATGCAATAAACCAAGTCACACAAATTTTTTGGTTTCCCAGTGTATATAAATCCTACGTTTACTATACTAAGTGTGCAATGGCATTATATCTAAAAAGACAATGTACTTAAAAATATTTAAAAATACTTATTGATAAAAAATGCTAACAATCACCTGAGTCTTTAGCAAGTTGCAATCTTTTTGCTAGTAGAGGGTCTTGCCTCCACGTTCATTGCTGCTGACGGGTCAGGGTGCTGGTTGCTAAAGGCTGAAGTGGCCGTGGCAATTTCTTAAAATAAGACAACAGTGAAGTTTGCCACATTGACGGACTCTTCCTTTCATGAAAGATTTATCTGTACATGCGGTGCTGTTTGATCGCATTTTACCCACAGTAAAACTTTCAAAATCAGAGTCAACCTTCTCAAACCCTGCTTCTGTTTTGTCAACTAAATTTATGTAATATTCGAAATCCTTTGTTTTCCAGGAATAGATTTCATTCCAAGAAACCACTGATAAAGAAAAGGTGGTATATGTATACCATGGAATACTACTCAGCCATAAAAAGGAATGAAATAATGTCTTTTGCAGCAACTTAGTTGCAGCTGGAGGCCATTATTTTAAGTGAAGTAACTCAAGAATGGAAAACCAAATCTTGTGAGAGCTAAGCTATGAGGATGCAAAGGCATAAGAATGACGTAATGGACTCTGGGGATTTAGGGGGAAAGGCTGGGAGGGAGGTAAGGGCTAAAAGACTACATCTTGGGTACAGTTTACACTGCTTGGGTGGCGGGTACACTAAAATCTCAGAAATCACCACACTAAAGAACTTATCCATGTAACCAAAAACCACCTGTAACCCAAAAACTGACTTTTTTTTTTTTTTTTTGAGATGGAGTCTCACTGCTCTGTCGCCCAGGCTGGAGTGCAGTGGTGTGATCTCGGCTCACTGCAAGCTCCACCTCCCAGGTTCACACCTTTCTCCTGCCTCAGCCTCCCAAGTTAAGCTGGGACTACAAGCGCCTGCCACCACGCCCGGCTAATTTTTTGTATTTTTAGGTCAGATGGGGTTTCACCGTGTTAGCCAGGATGGTCTCAATCTCCTGACCTCGTGATCCGCCCACCTCGGCCCCTCAAAATGCTGGGATTACAGGTGTGAGCCACCACACCCGGCCGACTTTTTTTTTTTAAAAAAAAACCACTTTCTCTCTTCATCCATAAGAAGCAAGTTCTCATCCATTCAAGTTTGACTGTGAGATTGCGGCAATTCAGTCCCATCTTTAGGCTCCACTTCTAATTCTAGCTCTCTTGCTAGGTCCATCACATCTGCACTCCTCCACTGAGGTCTTGAACCCCTCAAAGTAATCCATGATGATTGGAATCAACTTCCAAACTCCTGTTAATGTTGATATTTCATCTCCCCGCCATGAATCCTGAATATGCTTAATGGCATCTAGAAAGGTAAATCCTTTCCAAAAGGTTTTCAGTTTCCTTTGCCCAGATCCATCAGGAATCACTGTCTCTGGCAACCATGGCCTTACAAAATGTATTTCTTAAATAATAAGATTCAAAGTCAAAATTACTCCTTGATCTATGAGCTTCAGAATGCAGTTGTGTTTGCTGACATGAAAACATTAATCTCCTTGCACATCACCGTCAGAGATGTGGGATGACTGGCTGCATTTGTCCATGAGCAGTATTTTAAAAGGAGTATTTTTTATAAGCAGTAGGCCTCAATAGTGGACTTGAAATATTCAGTAAACCATGCCATAAACTACGTACTGTCATTCAGGCTTTGTTGTTCCATTTACAGAGCAAAGGCACAGATTTAGCATAATTCCTTTTTTCTTTTTTTTTTGAGACAGAGTCTTGCACTGTCTCCTGGGTTGGAGTGCAATGGAGCGATCTTGGCTCACTGCAACCTCTGCCTCCCCGGTTCAAGTGATTCTCCTGCCTCAGCCTCCTGAGTAGCTGGGATTACAGATGCGCACCACCACACCCGGCAATTTTCTTTATTTTTAGTAGAGACAGAGTTTCACCGTGTTAGCCAAGATAGTCTCGAACTCCTGACCTCAGGTGATCCGCCTGCCTCGGCCTCCCAAAGTGCTGGGATTACAGGCGTGAGTCACCGCACCAGGCCTGAGTGAGCATAATTGTTAAGGGCCCTAGGATTTTCAGAATGGTCAATAAGCACTGGCTTCAAAAATCACCAACTGCATTAGTCCCTAAAAAAAAAAGTCAGCCTGTCCTTTGAAGCTGGGCACTGACTTCTCTCTAGCTATGAAATAGATGGCGTCTTCTTCCAATAGAAAGCTGTTTCATCTACATTGAAAATCTGTTGTGTAATGCAGCCACCTTCATCAGTGATTTTAGCTACATCTTCTGTATAACTTGCAGCAGCTTCTCCATCAGCACTTGCTGCTCTACCTTGCAGTTTCTGTTATGGAGACATTAGAATAGTACCTTATGAAACAGTATAATATATTCTTTTCATAAGGTACTATTTTAACTAGCTGAACAGCTGATGACTACTCCAGCACAAAGACAATTCATTTAAATTTTGTTGCAACAAAAGAATGTTTTACAATAAGTAAAGATGAAAAATAATCATTGTGTTAACATTTTTTCCATATAATTATAAGAAAATAAGGACTGAGTCTAAAGTAAAAGTTGAAAACATTTTCATTTACTGAAATTTAGTGTAAATTAAATGAAAACAGATTTCATTACATCATATAAAAGTGAAAATATACCCTTAATATATTAATTCACTAGTCATTTCTGTGTTATGGACATTAGCCTTAATATTTAAAAATACCTACTTCTTTCCAATCTGTGTCTTGAACTCTGACAGTATTGTCTGCAAAGGAAAAATGAAAAATAAGGATTTAAAAACATTTCATTCATCCAGCATTAAACAATGGGTTTTGTTTTTCTCCTAAGAAAAGTGAAACTTACCCATTAAGCATGAGAAAAAAAGAAAATAAAAACTAATCATTTATATAACACACACTATGTCATTCATATTTTCTTATCTAATTCAAACACTTTCTTGATGGTTAAGGGTGATCACCGCTGCTCTGTGCTACCCAGTAATTCAATGCAGTGACTCCTCAGGGACTATGGAGAAACATGTGGCTACTCTCTTCCTACATTAACTGGTTCTACACTGTATCTTCTCCCCCTAATCTCATTTAGGTGCGTCACCTGCTTCTAATCCAATGTCTCATGTTATACCAAACTGGGTAACCTCAGAGTTTCTGTATTACAGCCCATGTTCATTACTGGAGGTCACGCTGACTTAGTCTTTCATCCATATTCCGGTTACACTATTTTCTCCCAACCATATCCTGAATGACTCAGCTATCAGAAGCATGACCATAACTAAGTATTTTTTAATGTACTTCTTTATTTGAAATATGTGAAATGGGGAAAAAGAAACCCATTCAACTTTAAGTATACAAAAGTGTTTGGACAAAAGATGATGATATCTTCTCTACAAGTTACTACATTAGCAAGGAAGTAAGGTTTATAAAAGCTCTGGCCCCGTAACATTGTATCTATAGAAAAATCTGAAGAGCTTACAAATGAGCTTGTGGGCCACAATCTAAAAATTAAAGAATAATTGTGCTTTAATCCTAAACTTGAATATACAAGTGAAAGGATATTTGTTCCTTTTATGAGTATTTATATCATACCCTGCTTTTTCTCAGTGCTTCCATATACATCAGTAATTCTGCCTTTTCTTTTTTACTATATTTTTAATTCTTTTTTGAGTTGGAGACCAGCCTGGGCAACACTGCAAGACTTTGTCTCCACTAAAAATAAACAAACAAAAAAGTTGGCCAGGTATGGGGGCGCATGCCTATAGTCTCAGCTACTTATGAGGCTGAGGAGGGAGGATCACTTGAGCTCAGGAGTTGGAGGTGGCAGTGAGCGATGATTGCGCCACTGCACTCCAGGGCAACACAACTAGACCCTGTCTCAAAAAAATAAAATAAAATAAAATAAAATGAATTATTTTTTGAGATGATGCTTTCTTGCTGCCAATTGAGACAAAATAACATTTTAAATGTCAAATTCAGGGACATAAAAAAAGCAAAAAGAGGACCTCAGGAATCAAAGAAGAGGAAAGGAACAAACCAGGTCATTTACACTTCTTACATTTTGAAATTTTAAAAGAAAAAAACATAAATAGGAATGC